CAACGGGTTGATTCAGTTACCTTTAAGTAGATAAGTAGATTTAGCAGGCCTTAGACACACTACTACCACTTGTAAATTAACACAACATTGGTATTATTGTGTCAATATTTTACACCTACATTTCTACTAACACTGTTGTGTGTCATTACAGCACCTGGATCCGAGTCTTAACAAAGGGAAGTACTGGTGTCGGTTCCTGCGGTAAAACACCAATTACTGAAACTTCCAGGGCGTGACATTGACGGCGGTCCTCCTTACTGCTCCTGTAGCTGTATACGATAAATTCACTCCTTAAACTTTAGATAAATGTTCCTAGTAACAATAGTCTCAGTGCAATACAAATACATTTTACATTTTTAGCATCGTATCGTGGCTTAACTAACCCACTTACATGTAGTGTACTTTCATATCACCAGTCGTCATCAATACTGCCCACACGGCGTAAGCTATTATTGCTATATCATTTAGGTAACAGGCGTCATGGACAGAGGTAATGCTTCTCTACCTATGCCTACCTGGCATACTACTTACCAGACAGCTATAAACAAGAAGTAATATCCTAAAATGGTGAATTCTTGTCACCTTAATAACATTCTTACAGACTCTCAGTTTCGATTTGAAGCTGGAAGGTCGACTGAGAGTGCTCTGCTATCCTTTGCTAATTAACATCTTAAACTCCTTTGATGACAGTCAGTTCACAGTCGGAATATTCCTGGACCTCTCTAAATCCTTTGATACTGTCGACCATACCATCCTCCTAGCAAGGTTTGAACATTATTGCGTTAGGGGCTTATCTCACAATTGGCTTACCTCATATTTGTCTAACAGGAAGCGGTATGTCTGCTATAATAATCATCAATCTGACTTCTCACCAGTTTTGTATGGCATCCCTCAAGGTTCCATTCTCGGTCCTGTACTGTTCTTGTTGTATATAAACGATCTAGTCCACTCCAGCACACTCGCCAAATACAACTTATTTGCAGATGATAGTAATCTCTATGCCAGCAATTCAGATCTCCATTCCTTGACGAGAACTATGAACACATCTGAATAAAGTCAGGACCTGGGTAACACGTAATAAACTGACCTTAAACCTCGGAATAAAACCCACTATACAATCTTTCACAGAAGGAAAACCCTACCCCTTCATTTGGACCCCCTGTACCTTGGTAATACAGTCCTCAAACGTGAACAAAATACTAAATTCCTTTGGGAGAAACTTAGCTGGAGAAACCACATACAAGCCATTCACAATAAAGTCAATAAACAGTGCGGTATCCTGTATCACACTCGTCAGTCACTCACTCTTACAGCAATGAAAGAAATATATTATGATCTTGTTTACCAACACTTGATATACTGTCACACAGTATGGGGGCCTCTGGCTCTACAAAACCACAAACCATAATCACTGCATAGAAGAGAGTTGTGCGGATAATGATCTACTTGAAAAAAATGATCACACAAAAGAACAATTTGCTAAATTGTAAATATTAAAATTCGAGGATATTAATACCTACTACTGCGCCCTATTGTTTTTTTTTTACAAATCCGTTAATCACTTGCTTGACAATAATTATTCCCAGTTCCGGAATAATCAGAGATACAACTTGAGACATTAAAGGAAGCGTCAAAGTTTACCTGTCTAAAACACCGCCCACCACAAGGTAGGTTGATGTGACATTGGACGAAAAAATATGATTTGTTTTTAGTGCTATCTGTCTCTCACACCTTCCTTCCTTCCTTCCTTCCTTCCTTCTTTCCTTCCTTCCTTTATTTCTTCATTCCTTCCGTTACCTCTCGAGTCGTAACTTACACACCCTCCTCCTTCTCATTCCTTCCCTCTATCCTACTACACACACTCCCCACACCCGCACCACACACCCATACCACACACACCCACACCACACACACACCACACCCGCACCACACACCCATACACACACACCCACACCACACACACCCCACACCCGCACCACACACCCATACCACACACACCCACACCACCCCACACCCCACACCCGCACCACATACCCATACCACACACACCCACACCACACACACTCCCACACCCACCACACACACCACACACCACACACACCCACACCACACACCCACACCCACACCACACACACCACACCCATACCACACACTTTTACACCCACTCTACTCCCCCCACCCACACACACACAATACACGCCACACCACACACACTCCTACACCCGCACCACACACCCACACCACACACACTCCCACACCCGCACCACACACCCATACCACACACACCCACACCACACACACTCTCACACCAGCACAACACACTCTTACACCCCCACACCACATACTTTTTATCCGCACAACACACCACACACTCCTATACCCACACAACACACTCTTACACCCACACCACACGCTTCTACACTCACTCTACACACACTACACACAATCATACGAGTATTGTCAGGAGCCTGACAAGTAGAGCAGGAGAGTACAAGGTCAGGAACTTGGAGTGAGTGGTGTGGTGAGTGCGTGTGACAGTGCTTAGTGTGCGTGTTAGAGTGTGTTGTGTTGGGGTGGTGTAGTGTGTAAGGTGAGTGTTTATGGTATGAAGATCAATATAGCTGTAGAGTGTGAGAGTATGTGAGTAAGTGCGTGTTGGAGGAGGTGTGTGGTGTAGTGGCTGGTAAGGGTGTGGATGAGTGGGTGTTGATGAGGATATGTGTGGGTTAGTGTGTGGGTGAGGATGTGTGGGTGAGGGTATGTGGGTGAGGGTGTATGGGTGAGGGTGTGTGGGTGGGGACGTGAGGTGTAGTGGCTGGTGAGGATGTGTGTGGGTGAGTGTGTGTGTGTGTGTGTGTGTGTGTGTGTGTGTGTGTGTGTGTGAGTGTGTGGGTGAGAATGTGTGGGTAAGAGTGTATGGTGTAGTGGCTGCCTGGCTGGTGTATGTGTGTGTGTGTGTGTGGTTTAATGGCTGGTGAGTGTGAGTGGAGAAGGCCACAGTGAAGCTAACCATTACAGTACAGCTCGCTGGCTCACCGAACACACTGAATGTAATCAAATACTGACTCTGTAGCCTCCTCACTCACTACTCCTGCTGATCAACACAAATCTTAATCGCATCACAAAATCCCCATAGCAATTTTTTCATCATACATTTGCCTCATTTATGTTCAGTATCATCACAAACACTAAATTCGTTTCTATTCACGCATATGTCAAGGCAACACATCTACTGTCCTATCAGTTTCTGCACCTGTACCATATTCGCTAAGATCTTTATTATGAAAGACACTCGATATTACTAAATTAAAATAGAAGCAATGTGACAAGACACCATGGGAGGGAAAGCCTTAACGGGTAAAGTAATTTATCTTCAGTAATATGTATAAATATTAACAGCACAAGAGATGGTTTATGATCACAAGCAAAATGTGGGTTTGAATCCTAGAGAGACAATAATGTACAATAAATTGTGCAGGCAACTTCGCTCGCGTAGTTTGATGTGTGTAATAAAATAATAATAATAATAATTGACGGTTTATTGAAAAAGTTCTGCAGCCCGAAGGCTGAAAATATACATTGGACATAAATGACTTATTTCATACATTGGTGGTTTAACAAAAGCCTTCATTAGAGAAAGGTAAAGGAACATACAGTGAGCATTCAGATTAATGTAGGTGTTGAACAGCAAACACGTAGTGTAGTAACTCTCTCCCAGATGGTGTTAGGAGGGACCTGATGTGGTGTAGTAATTCCCTCACAGATGGTGTTATGAGGGGCCTCACGTGTAGTAATTCCCTCACAGATGGTGTTATGAGGGGCCTCACGTGGTGTAGTAGTTCCCTCATAGATGGTGTTACGAGGGGCCTCACGTGGTGTAGTAACTCCCTCACAGATGGTGTTATGAGGGGCATCACGTGGTGTACGAATTCCCTCACAGATGGTGTTATGAGGGACCTGACGTGGTGTAGTAATTCCCTCACAGATGGTGTTATGAGGGACCTGACGTGGTGTGTGTGTGTGTGTGTGGGTGTGTGTGTTGTGCACGAAATGGAGTGTTTAATACAGTCGTCTGGAGACATCTGTCATTGCGAGTTTTGTGTGTTGTGGTTAAGAAAACTCTGAGGCGCCGTTCAGTTTAACATCCACACACCGTTACCCTGGTTTTACTCTCAGCTTCAGTGTGCAAGCAACTCCTAATGCCTTTACCAATACCACAAGTTCTAGGCTTGATAACTCGTCAGTTTGCCTCATTTGTATAAGGTTTCTTTCTTAAAAGCAAAAATCAGAAACGACCCAAAACTCACAATTGTAGGTCTCCCGGCATTATTACATTTTGTCTCTTGACTTTTAAATTAAAACTTTATTTGATATTTTATGCTGCCAACTTTACTATTTATATATGGCCAATAGCTGTCAAGGACATTCCCCTGGGTCAGTCATTCACTCACTATATTTCACGTTCTTTGCTCAGATCACGACATTGTAGCAGGTGATTTAACACTTTCAAAGATTTTATTTCTCGAAATACCTAAATAATTGTTATAAATAAATAATAATAATTTAACAAAAGATCGTGGAATAAGCAATTACCGCGTAATATAATCCAATTTTTACCATATCCAATGTTATTTCCTCCAAGTTAAGCATGGGATAAAATGCTCAAAGACAAGAATTCCCGAAGTACCGGCACAATTCTGGTAAAATAATAATAATAATAATAATAATAATAATAATAATAATAATAATAATAATAATAATAATAATAATAAAAGAAAGAAATATGAACACTGAGAAAAGAAACGCTGAGTGGCTGATGGTCCTGATATAATGCATCAGTTGTAAGTCCTCAATAATGTTTCCCGCCCTCCAAATTACGTCGCCCCCACCCCACCGGTGAAAGTAACGCCGCCAGCCAATCACAGCTACTACGCTCTCGTGACGTCACTACAAGTCTACGCATATATATTGGCTCGTGTTGCAAGGATGAGACACAAGAAGTCAGAAATCAAGAACTCTCGCATCTGTACACGTACTATGGCGCTCACAGTGGTAAGTCCACAACCCAATGTAGTTTGGTCTTCAACTTCATGAAAACTTTAGATACATTTAATCAAAGTACATCGTCTATTGACAGATTAAATATTAGAATCGTGTATCTTATTTAATCTATCCACACTCTGAACCCGTCATTTAATACTATAAAAACACAGCCCAACTTGACCCTCTTCCGCCCCCTTCCACACACCGCTGCCCCAGGACACATGTAGACTGAACTTGAGGTATCATTTTCTTAGTCATCTTTCTCTCCTTCCCACCTCAACTGTATTTCCCCCCATACACTTTTCTCACACACTCTTTTAACCTATATCACTTAATTACTCAGTCTATCTTACTTTCAAAGCAAAGTATACCCTGCAGTTGCTCTCCTGACTACATTTTACCACAAGTTCTTGCACACTACTAGCCATTTTTTCCATACAGATCTACATCTTCGCAATCATTAAGCTGTATTTATTGAGTTGCTATCCTCGCCATAGTTGGTACCTAACATTTTTATCTGTCTATGTCTATTAATATCTACGAATATTGATTCACAGTCTAGTTTCTAACAGACAACGTTTTTCTTCTTCCCCAGTCAATTTTTCTAGCCTGCACCACAGCGGTGCTTGGCTCCGTCCATACCTCTCCTTACGGCCACCCTCAGCCTGCCTACGGCCACGCTCAGCCTGCCTACAGCCACGCTCAGCCTGCCTACGGCCACCAACCCGCCTACAAGCACAGCTACTGTGACCCAACGGACACCCCCACCTGCGCCGCCAACTCCACCCTCACCTACTGCCTGGAGGACGCTGAGTACCCCGAGTATGAGATCAAGGGCGCCATCAGTGCTGACCATATCTTCGCCAAGAAGTACGCTGATGTGGCCGACCAGTCAGCTGATGACCTGGTCGACATGGTGACCAAGGAGCAGGAAGAGGCCTTCGACTACTCCTACTACACTGGTGCCTCCACTGGTGACTCTCCCTACGATGCCACCCACTGGGGTGGTCCCGAGGGCTACATCTGCCCCTCTGACGTCGCCTACGCCAGGCCCAGACGTGCCCAGAATGTAGAGGGCAAGTGGCGCGTTATTGTCAACGATGTTCACTACTACACTCAGACCGCCCGCCTGGAGACTTGTCTCTTCCCTGAAGCTGCTTGCCGCGCCCTTGCTCCCTGCTACAAGAGTCACTGCACCCAGAAGTACGTCTACCACCGCCTCCTGTCCTTCGACCCCTGTGATCCCTACAAGGGTCTCTTCATCGACATCTACAAGATGCCATCTGCCTGCTCTTGCCACATCCCCGCTTGATAACAATGCCCGCCTTACCCCCCTCCAATTTACCGAAGCCCTACCCTCCTCGACCCCACAACGCCGCCGTGCCAGACTAGAATATTGACACTGTTTGCCCATCTTCTACTGTCGATTAGATCCCGGGGGCGCCCGCATCACAGGGGCGTCCCTCAGACTCGCGTGAGAAGCTCCCAAGAGACCTAGAGAACTGCTTTCTTTACGTACCGCCCAACACCATCAGTCACAGGGACCACTTGGGAATTTCTGTACCCGCTCGGAGTCCGGATGCTAAATTATTCATTATTTCAAATTTTCTTTCTCTTCTACTGTCCAGTAACTTATGTCATAACATGTGAGTGCGAGATGCTGAGAGTTCTTGTAATTATTTTTTAAAATAAACAAAAAATCTGATATATGTATTTTCACTTATCTTCCCACAGATCTATAAAGGAAATATTCTGATATTAATATAAGCTGTCAGTTTTACTTATTTATTCTTAATAGCCAATATTCTTGCAAACAAAAATAATTGTATCTCACAAATTTACTTAAAAACATTTGACATTTTGGAATGTATGCACTGGTGTTGTATGCATGTACGGTAATTCCCAGTTGGCAAGAATATAAAAATGTGAAGACAATTTTATCTACGGTGTAATGTGCACAGAAATATACCTAAAATCTAATGAGCCATAATCACCTGGAAATAAAAATCAACCCACTTCTTAATTGAGGTAAATTTCCCGCCTTGTAACACTCTTCATAGATTCACTTAAACTCCTCCATCTGAGTTGAAACTACAATGTAAATTTATTTGTTCTTATCCACTCCGATCATGAGGCCAGCCGTCTTGCTATAAAACACTCCAGCTCAACCTTTTAACACCCACTAACTGTTTACTTCAGGTGTAATCACGACCAATCGTTATTAAACTCTGCCAGAGTCCCTCATCACAAGTTACAATCGTTTACAAATTCTGCTTTTATTAGTCTTTGGGCATGGATTACTCGTACACTGAAGCGTGCAGTTATAGAGTGGATACAACGCTCGCCTTCTCCACTAATGGCCATTGGCTATAGTATCAAAGCGCTCCCAGTTCTTTCAGTTTTAAATAGGTGTTGAAATGTAGGCGGCGAGTGCAGTGTCGACCAGTTCCTTCCTTGTGTACAGTACCTAAGGCTTACAGTAATATTGCATCACTGCAGTATATCATTAAACATCCAACAGAGCTTTATTTTAGTTGGGAATGCTGTACAGATGTCGTAGCTACTTCACTCCTGAGCAGTTGCTTAGAGTACTGCTCTCATATCTGGGGTGGCTCTTCTACTGCCCAACTGTTAGATAGGGTGGAATCAAAGGCATTTCGTCTTATTAACTCTCCTCCTTTAGTTGACAATCTTCTTCCCTCTCTCTTCGCCGCAATGTTGCTTCACTCTCTCTTTTACAGGTACTTTAACGGGCCATGTTCGATGGATTTGGCATCCTGTGTACCGCCGGCAACGCCGTGGGCTCGTAACACTCGTCTTGCCCGCGGTGCCCACCGTTTCTCTGTGGATGTCGGTCACACTAGAATATCCCGTTATAGTACATCCTTCCATCCTTACACAGCCAAACTGTGGAATGCTTTGCCTTCTTCCGTGTTTCCATATTTATACAATCTGTCTCACTTTAAAAAGCTGGTTTTCCGGCATCTTCGTGGTGTAGATTAATATAACCTTTTGTTTTCTATTTTCAATTTAGTTTTACCTGTGCCCGGGTGCCCACCGGGCAATTATCTCGGCCAGATCTTGCCATGGTGAACTGGGTTGTCAATTTCGTGAAGTTTCCCCAAATTTATTACACAACAAAATTCCACACTATTAAATTTCACCAAAAAGATATTTCATTGGACAAAATCCCACAATAAAACAGTAAAATGTAATGTTTCCTAACCTAACCCAGCCTAACCTAACTTAACTTTACCTAACCTAATCTGGTTAACTCCATTAACTTCGCGCTATGGTTTTTGTCTAGTGTAAATTGAGATCACTGCCTCTCACATTCTTCCCCATAGAACTGATCTGAGATTCATTATTAAAATTTACAATAAAACTCTCTCTCTCTCTCTCTCTCTCTCTCTCATAAAGACTAGACGAGGACTCAGACATTGTGTCACTGGGTAGGACCATCTGGAGTCTTGTATTTTGGGCCATAACCGAGAGCTAACTTTGTCACTTTCAGTCTCTCTATGTTGTAGTTATCGCCACCACCATCACCACCACCACCACCACCATAATTTGGCTAATTGTAATGACCATCACAACTACCACAGTTTATTGTGGCATTCGTTGCGTCGCGTTAAGTGGCTTCCGTCATGAATGTGAAAATAATTACTCGTGAAAAGGTGGACAGTTTAGTGAAATTTGTCAGGTAGTGTGTACAGTACATTCACATTTTCAGGAGTTCGGACAAGTTTGCTAATAGTCACGATACGATTGGTTTAAGCAGGGAGATGAGGGGAATTCGGGGATATAGCGCGTGTTCAACTTAAACCTATAGTTATCCGTACGTCTGATGAGTCTAACAAGTAAGGAAGTGTGTTCTGAAGTGATTGTCTTAAAGTCAATCTCTTGAATTTGAAAATTAATGAATTTCATCAGGAGAGTCGTAAATACGTAAAATATATTTATGTACTGTACTTAATACCACACAACTATATCCGAAATCCTACATAAGCTCGTATTTACACTCACACAACCAGATACAGACATAATAATGTACTCAACTTTCATTAGTTCAGGAGTGACGCCATGTATAAAATGTTGTGGTCTCCTCGGTGGGCGACAGATGGCAGCACCTCTCTGAACACTGCCGCGGTGAAAGTAGTCGTGGAGACGTTTGACAACACGTACGGGGATCACAGATGTTATATGGTCAATTTAAGTGATTCTAAATGATAGTACACATTAAAAAATATCTTTAAAAAGGTATTACAGATTGGTTTTTTTAAGCACAGAATTAGATATTGTAGGATATTACTTTTACTTTTATCCTCTTCGCCACTGATCGGCTTGTTAGCCGCTTGGCCGATCGGTCACGTAGAAAACTTAAACTCAACAACATATGAAAATCTTGATTTAGAACTTAGTAATTTTAAATCATGTCATTAAAAATATATTCCCAGCTTTAAATTATATCGTTAGTGATCAAATATAAACACGTAGAGGTTACACGACTTCTAGTTAAGCTTCAATCCACTTTGCCATTTTGTTGAGGCTATTATATATACATTCATCTTGTTTTCGTAACGCTGTCAAGAGATTTCCGCGAAGACACAATAGGTAACCCGGATCCTGTCCATCAGTTATATATATTTACCTGGACCGAGATTCAGAAAGGAAGGAGAGACTTGATTGATATGAAAGTCGAGGGTACAGTATGTACAAAAAGTGAAATGGTGGTGAATAATTCTTAAATGAATTTTTTGTATTGATGTACAGGGTATATTCGTGTGTGTGTGTGTGTGTGTGTGTGTGTGTGTGTGTGTGTCTCATTCGTTCAAGGAATAATTAAGAAATCCAAACAAGTTAGATACATTTTTTAACTGAAGCTGGTCTATATTCAGGGAGAGTCAATTAGATAATAATGATAATGGAGACAATATAATTATGAATGATATTATTGCTATCTCACTAACCTAACTTGATATGACCTGACCTGACCTAACCAACTTTAGATATAGTTAGGTGGTGTTATGATAGTACACAGCGTTTCCAGTGACACATATCAAATTTAAACAAATATGAAGTAATTTTTCATTAAAGTATAAAATTTAAGTATAAAAAAAAGTTATCTATTTGCTAAAAGGTTAACGGAATTATTAGGGTTAACCGGGCGATTATTGGGGAGGGAGAGAGAGAGAGAGAGACTGGGTTGGTGTATGTGTGTGAGTGTATATATAAACATTCAAACTGTATATGTATTATTCACTTATATAATTCATTGTGCGTTGACCTTCTCTCTGTTGACTGACTGGTGGTGACGTCACAGAGCAGCACGTGTATTCTTTTTTTCGGGGATTAGCCCACCCGGGCACAGGTTACTGACCCACATCGGTGCCTGGGGGGCGAAAATGTAATAATAATAATAATAATAATAATAATAATAATAATAATAATAATAATAATAATAATAATAATAGTAATAATAGTAATAGTAATAGTAATAATAATAATAATAATAATAATAATAATAATAATAATAATAATAATAATAATAATAATAATAATAGTAATAGTAATAATAATAATAATAATAATAATAATAATAATAATAATAAATAATAATAATAATAATAATAATAATAATAATAGTAATAGTAATAATAATAATAATAATAATAATAATAATAATAATAATAATAATAATAATAATAATAATAATAGTATATAATAGTAATAATAATAATAAATAATAATAATAATAATAATAATAATAATAATAATAATAATTATAATAATAATAATAATAATAATAATAATAATAATAATAATAATAATAATAATAATAATAATAATAATAAAGAAATACAAAATGAAAAAATGATCAAGAGTGAGAAACAATATATGTATGTTGTGTTGTCAATAGTAAGAGAAACAATGGAGGCCCTGCATTTGTGTGTAAATGAAACAGAAAGTCAGATGAGCAACCTGGGACTTGGTCACAATTTTCGCTATAAGGGCTGGCGCAGTGAAGGGATCATGCAGTCGAGAAGTTCCGAAGGACAAGAACTCTTGCGTGTGGAGTAATGGCTCTTCTTTTGGTACGTCTTTAATAACACGTGAAAAACTCTTAAGGTTAGATTCCGTTGGGATAAATTGTGATATAATTTGCTTTTAAATGACATTAACATATTTCATTATTTTGTTTTCATTATTAGCATTTCTGTACACCTTCTGCAACATTTATTGTGACATACACTCGGCCTAACTATCACAACTGCAGCTTTTTTTAACGTATAATAACACCTCTATTAGATTACACATCAGCAAGGGGGCATAAACATAGGAGTGATATGCTTACTTTATAGTCGGGGGAAGGAAGATGGCAACATTGTTCCTGACGAGTCTAAGTTTCCAGTGTTAATAGAGGAGGAAACAGGAGAACCCCAGAAGACATCCGATGTTCGGTAGTCAAACTGGGCAACACTCGGGATCGAACCCAGTTCGCGGTTGGGAAAGGTACCACCGGCATTCAAAAAATATTAAATACAAAATATTGTCTGATATGTCACTCGGTACACAGAAAAAATGATATGATCTTTGTCCTAAGAATGTGATGGATTCTTGTATCTACTTTTGTTCCAGTCGGTTGTTCTGGCGTGTGCCGGAGCCGTTCTTGGCTCTGTCCACCCGGGATCCCGGGAAGGAAAC